CCCGAAAACGGTCGCTACAATCACTTGAGCCGAGATTTCTCGCATATTTGCAAACGACTGACCGCAATACTACTTCGGCCTACTTTTCCTTATATTCGTGCTTATCAGATCATGTTACGTTCAGAGGGGCAGCTTTCAAGTTACAAACTTGATGATTTGAAGTGTATGGGTGCCAGCCACTGAGTCAGTAACAGTAATGGGACTTTTCGCGTAAGTTAAGGACAATAGAGTTCCGTAGTGGATGAACCGTATCTATACCATGTGATTTGTGCGAAACGGGGTTTTCCATCAGGTTAGCCCCAGTTCTCTACAAGGAGTCCAACAGGTAACCTCCGTCTTAAGTAGAAGAACCCCATCTTTCTTTGAGTCCCACCAGTAATCTCCACTTTCAGCTGATTTACCTGATTTCCAACCAAAACTACATCTGAAGACTAACTTCGGTAAGAAGAATCTTGCCTGAGTTACGGAAAAAAGGTCAGTCAAGGGCAAACACTGCATACTTCGGCCTTTTCCTATGTGAAAAGACCGCGTGAAGATCAGTTCAGGACGCGATTTTTTCAATTTGATGCGATATTTGCCCGACAGTAATTGCCAAAGCCTACCTCGTTTACTGTTCTTTTGCTGGTCTCTGGACAGAAAGCCCACATGACGAAGAGGAAAACAGCCGTGGGAACGAGGAACATGAAGAGCGATTGAGCGCCAATCTAAACAAAGTTACTGTAGCGGCAGCAATACTGTAAACAAACAGCTGAGCCATAGAGCCTGGTATTAGCTGATGGAATTATGAGGGATAGAATGCCTGATTGGTCTGGGAGTGATCCCACATCCAGGTTGTGCAAGTGCAATATGAGGGCCTGCTGACTAGAATGCCTGATTGGTCTGGGAGTGATCCCACATCCAGGTTGTGCAAGTGCAATATGAGGGCTGTAAACAAACAGCTGAGCCATAGAGCCTGGTATTAGCTGATGGAATTATGAGGGATAGAATGCCTGATTGGTCTGGGAGTGATCCCACATCCAGGTTGTGCAAGTGCAATATGAGGGCTGTAAACAAACAGCTGAGCCATAGAGCCTGGTATTAGCTGATGGAATTATGAGGGATAGAATGCCTGATTGGTCTGGGAGTGATCCCACATCCAGGTTGTGCAAGTGCAATATGAGGCCCTGCTGACGTCATCACACCGGCTCATTTGTATAACATTGACTGGTAAGTAGGAGAGAAATGCTCACAATATTAGCGAT